TCGCATGGGCGATTTTATTTTAATGCGTACGGAGGTACGAGCGAATCGCTAGGGCGATTTCAACAAAACACGACTATGTGTAGTCCGGGCGAATCGCTAGGGCGATTAACTATAATGCGTACAAGGGCACGCGCGAATCGTTAGGACGATTAACAACACAAATGATTTTTTGCTAATTAGCGACCATGAGGCGAAGGCTAATATGGCGGCGATGGAAATCGGCGCTCGCGTCGGGAACCAAAACGTTCGATGCGCACACCGGACAGAAGAACGATCGAGAGTGTATCGAAAAGCGTTATATTAACGCTATCCCGTAAACCGGTGGTGGCGGCACAGACAGGGTGGCCAATTCACCACATACGTGTGTGTGTGTAAGCGGATCCAACATTGTCTAAGAATCCATTCAATGGATTGATGGACGAACCTTATCATATCTTGTTCGTCAGAATTATAGTTTTTTTCGGGCTGACTCATAATATTAGCCATTTTCTCTGTATAAACTAGATACGCCCACATGATGTACTTGGCAGTACTATAATATTTTTCAACGTTGTGCATTGCGGTCAACATACGTTGTATTTCTTTTACAAAAGAATACATTTGTACTTGGTTGGCGGTTAGATTGGGCTTAGTTTTTAATAGCCGATACGAATTAAACATACTCGAATGAATATGAATATTCAATATGTAACTACACTCCAACGCCGTATACAGCTTTACTGAAGTTACTTTCAAATCACTAAGTGTCATGCCTCGGAGAGAACCAGTTGAGTTAGGCTTGTTGTAAATTTTTCCGTGTCCAAAATTGAGCTCTGTCATTTGTTGTACTCTTTGAAGATAGTACTGCCTCTCTTCATTTTCACTGTCAAAAGAAAACGTAAACGAGACAAAGCAAACCATGACAATTAGTGTCGTTAAATTCATAGTGAAACACAATTTTATGGAAATTTCAGTATAATAATTTACTGGATACCACTAAAAGTTTATACATACGCCGTTTGAATAATATATTTAACAAACTAGTGTATCCTAAGAGCTTTCTTATAATTGCACGTACATTTTAACATCAGCCGTCGTCCCCCACTTGTTGTGTAACTTTAAACCATTTTTTTAAGGTTATAATGTGTAGTGCAAGATAATATTAGTGCGTATGTGTGTGTGTGTCTTTAGGATATGACTATTATGTGTGGACACAGTGCTATAACGCAGTGTAGCGCCTAAAACGAAAAGTTAATTCGAAATTTATGAACGAGAAAATTCACGTGACGGCACCGATTCTCCAAATGTGCTTGTTTGACTTTATTTGCTTTTTAGCTCATATTATTTACAGGGTTCATCAAATGTCGTGTTACAATGAAGTGTAACAGTTATGTAACCTAAGAAAAGTTTCTATTAAAATATTTAATAATAAAAAAAAAAAAAATTATAGCTAATACCTAATTAGTAATAAAATATCGTCTTGGAGGTTAGTTATAAAAGAGTAATATGTTGTTAAAATTCAAATAGCAACATACATACATTTTCAATTACCTATTAAAAGCATACCTAATGCCGTAATAGAAATAACGACTGGCCGATTGCTAGTTTTAAATAAATACTTTTTGAGTGTTCCATGTGCATATAAATAACAACAGAATCTACCTCAAGCCTAGTAATACGTTCAAATGGTAATATCTGGAGAATAATTTATCCAAAAGTAGTCCATCGACCAGCCTTCATTTTAATTTTATCATTCTGCGATTCCTAGGTAAGCCTGATACATAGGTTGCAACATGACTTTAAAAATACATCTCTTAACGGGTAATATTAATTTTAAGAGTAATTTTAAATTTATATTTTCAACTTAAATATCGAATATAATTTTTAGTTATTAAATACAATAAGGATTTTATTTGAACCAATTTTAACCAAAATAATTGTTATTTCGCAAAAAAAAACCCGTAACACGAAATTTGAATAACCCTGTATATAATACAATTATATTGACATTAATATAAAAATATATGTTTTTTTTCTTTTGGAAACCGTGTTTAAAATGTGTTCGTACTTTTTAACGACGTTGCGTGGCCGCCATCGCTGTATATCATATTGTAATATATTACCTAAGTCCTAAATAATATTTTTTAGATACCCGATTTACTAAAAAAACCCAAAAAACAATTTGTACAACAAATTTTATTAAAAATCGTAAAATTTCCATTGATTTTATTGAATCAAATTGTTTTAATTATTATTAGCATAATGATGACTACCAAAATTCGTGTAATAATCGTTATCAAAAAATCATCTTTTCAATTACATGATCCAATCTATGTAGAGTAAACAAATACATATTTGGGCTATATAAAAAGATTGAAATAAAATCAAATTAGGTACCATAGAAATCTTTAGAATAATACTAAACTGTGCTTTAGCAATACAAATTCTTCAGCGCTAACGACAATGTTATCGAATTTACTATTCAATAACAACTTTTTAACTTTTAACAAAGTGTAAAAATAAATATTAAGTGTCGGTAAAAACTAATCAAATTTATTTTCCAAATAATATTAAAGCGAAATTTCGTACACAATAAATAAAAAACATGTTGTTTTAAGTAGGCGTAATTTTATCAGTCTTTTAGGTCTAAATTGGTTTCTTGTTCCACCAAAATAGCTTGAACTCATAGAAAAAATTGTATACGTCAAAAAATATAATATCCTGAGGCTTGTACAAATTAACGTAAACAAAATGGATAAGGCCGAAATGTATTAAAACTATTTTTTTCTTAAATATTGCCTATGTAAAACTCCTTAAAAACCACCCGCTTTCAATGTCCCCAACAGCCGTTTTTTGATAATTTTCAATTTAAAAGTGAATCTTATAATATCCGATGTTATAGTTAAACGTTGTTGTTATAAAAACGAAGTCGGGACGAAAACTGTTCGAGGTCGAATCCTCAAAAATGATTTTGCGAGTCCTCTCGAATAGGCGAAGATTAGGCAACCGAACGTACACTCCCACAATTGCGTCGTATATTGCAATGATAGGCAACCGAACGAAGTGGGCCGAGCCCGCGACATGACACGCAGCGCGACAACGATGCGGCCCGGGAGGAGAACATAGGCCGCTGGAAAGGGTGTCAGATTATACAGTTTTGGAACGAGGACGGTACAGTTTAACTACGGGGCCAGGGGTCCCTGTGAAGAGATCGGTTCGATACAATGGTCACAGGGCGCAATTACAAAGTAGAGAAACACAATTCTAACTGACGGCCAGTCAACACGAAAAACCGAAACTGAGTGACCCGTAATGACAACACAACAAAAAAAGAACAAATACAATTTTTGAATTGTACGTTACAGAGAAACTAAACGAACATGTATGAACTATACAAATATTAAAAAAACATTGCTATACTTCTAAACGGTATTTATTAAAAGCGAATATTTTTTTTTAACATTTAATATTGATCAAATTTATTTATTTATACTAGGGTATATTTTTGCATTTATAAATAATTTATGTAATTTGTGTAAAAAAAAAAAAAACACTAATCGTTTGTTGAATAAACGTTTTAGAATAGTATTAAACTTGTGTACTTGTTTTATATTTTATAGTGTCCTAACACAGCCTAAATGGAAAGTGGCAACGTATGTCTTTCAATATTTTTTTTAATTGACGTTTTGAGAATAATTTAATGATAACAATTTATATTGGTCAAATTAATTACATTTACATCAACAAAAATATTTGAAAAAAAAATACTAAGTAAAAAGCATATTGATTATTGACGTTTTCTAAAAATTGTGTGTTATACAACTGTTTTGACAAAGACCGTTGGCGAATTAACGGGGAAACATCACAAATACAACAGAACGACAACGTATGTTATGTTGCCTATCTATTTTTTCAGGCGCTTAAACATTTCCGGTCTTTCGATTATTGTAATTTGATTTGCTCATTGTCATTCTCAAACTGTACATTTTACCGTAGTTGAAAATGTTTTCATTATTATGTTAATTATGATTTATAGATAATTATGGTAATAAATTGTAATAGACAGACGACCAACCCTAATAGTATCCACTTCAATAAACACAAAAAACTGCCTAGAATGAATGCGTAATACCTACTTAACGTTCTGTAAAATTCATACAAGCATTTCGTACCACATATGACTGCTGCCATACTGACCATATGCGACATGACGTATGCTTTTTAACACTAAACATACCTTTTGGCGTTAGTAACAAAATCGCGTGGCTACCTAATTTTTCCAAGAGAACTGGACACGTGTCCTTTCTGAATTAGCGATATAACTAATGTACAATTTTATTTTATCCATATTGAACACTGCTTTGATGTCCCATACAGATATATATATATATGAAGTGCGGAATGACTTACAATTTGTTAGGAATTAAAAAAAAATGAAGACGTGGCTACAGACGAGGATAGATGCAGAGGATAAGTACATTTGTATTTTTTTAAATGTTGTATTATATTTAAATGTTTTAAAATTATATTCTGTATGATATAGTAAAAAGTATGAAGTATCTATTTAAATCTACACATAAGCAACAAATGTGCTTATAATCATAAGTAAAACTTTTTATTTTTTATTAATTATATATTTTGCACTTGTCATCGCACGCGCGTTTCATTGTTTACATATAATATAACCTTGTAGTTTTTTCTAGGTACATCAAAACGACCGAGAAACTATTAAAATTAGTATGTTATAGGTAGTTAACGTTTCGAAAATATTTTCTATACATTTAATACTATATAATATTTTTATATACACTATAGCACTAGGGAAACAAATCCGCTAAATACACAGCCAAAAGATTAAAATATACAACGAAATGTATTGTTTAACATAACACTTACAACTTTTCTAGCCGTAAGAAATTATTTTCGATTAGTGTGTATTTATTTTGCTATATTGTATTGTTGCACATAAGGTTTTTGTGTGAAAAAAAATGCACACGGGGCAAAAAAAATTGTACACGGTCTTTGGTGAAAAATCATATGTTTGTATATTATACTCAAATCCAATAATATATCGTCTTAATGTCAATTACAAGCACAGTGACCTTCGCGTATAAATTTCGATGACTAGACTACATTTTTACAAGTAATTCAATAAAATATACGAGTAATAAAGCTTACGCGTATAAATTGTATACATCTGAAATGCTACAATTGTTACAATAATAATATATACATGTTGAAATGCTTTGATATTTCGTATTCAAGATAAAAGTCACCGTCTCGGGAAACACTGTATAAATCACAAGAACGTATTACTACCTTCTATATCTTGTACTCGAGTCTATCGAGTGGGCTACCGTGGAGGGGAAGCCGATCGCAGTCGAATTACAAACCAATAGTCTTCGAATTTTCGTTATAATAAATACAGTCGCCCATCGATTATTATTGCCGTTAACGACACGACGAGAGGTGTTGATAATTGTTATTATTTTGAATCACGTCTGTCTTTCTCTCTCGTTCCGCTCTCGCACACACACACACACACACATAAGAGTGCGAGATCGGAAGTCCGTCGGTCAGCGTCTTCGGGGACGAGAGAACGTTATCGTGTTGTCCTGTAGCAGACCGTTGTGGTGTTTTGTGAAATGCACTGAAAAAACAAAAAAAAACAAAAAGTTCAAATCCCCGAAAAACGAAAATTTTGCCACAACTCTGTTTGATTAGCTAAAATATAATATGATTTTTGCGTGGACATTTTTTTTTTTTTTTTTTTAACAATTACACTCACACAAGACGCCGGGGGGAATTTCAAACGGATCTTGTTGTCGCCGATCGTTGTTGTCGACTTCCGAAGGTTTTCCGTCGGTCCGGCCGCCGGACTTGGACGTTGGCGAACAACACACCACTGGCATTTTGCCACGGATACTGCAAATGGTCGGATAGGCGACGTTGTCCCTTATGTCTTGTATGGCCGATTCGCATTTGTCGAGCGACTTACATACGTGTGTCCGAGAAGAACTGTCTTTTTTGCACACTTCATCTAAACAACAAAAAAAAAAATAAAGTAAAAAAATAACGCCGTGTTACTGCGAGATGAATAGAAACAAAAAGACAAAATAAATCTGAACTACACAGATGAAAATTATAATAATGTCAACGCCGAAACAAGTTGTAATAGTGTTCTTGTATATTTTAACATAAAAGTTATGAAAACTGAGAACCAATTGTTTTATTTTTTTTTAATTCGTTAAAATGGTTAAATACGCCATTAGTTGTTTCGAACGACTTTAAATGAATTATAATAATAGTTCATATATCTTTATAATTATTGTATTTAGAAGGAATTCACATACAGCATCATGCATACATAATAATGAATTCGGAGAGTCATTCTTCGTCATTGCTTACATCCCATAATCATTATTGGGCGGTTTTTGTTAATATTATATTATTTTACTACGAAACTTAATTGAAATACAAGTCGACCTCGTAAAGGTAATTTTTAATATCGGACTAAGTAGGTATACTGCATATATATATATATTTTTTTTTTTTGTAATAATATTACCATAAATCATAATAGTTAATACAGATTAAAATCTATAGTATTAATATTATAATTTATACTTGTTGAGCTGTTAAATGTGTGGTACAGTGAGTTAATAGATACTATTTGAGTGTAATAATATTATTTCCTGGTTTCTTTAACACCAAAAGAAGTAGGTGTCTGCCAAAAATTGAAATAACTTTGTTTCACGAATCTGACTTGTCACTAAAGTAAAATTACTGTGTATACTTCAGTGTGGACGTTTAATATCATTCTTAAGAAACTAAAATTCGACGGAAATAAAACCCGTGTGCGCGTGTATGTGTGTAAAACATCTGCGAGTTCCCCAAACTATAAATCGTTATTCTTTTAAAACCACTTTGAAATCCATAGTGATTATAATAGTAGAAAGTAACTTTCTACTGAACCACGCGTTTACCATTTTTAGTCCAAACGTTTTTCTTTCTTTTACCAGTTAAACAGTGAATATTTTGTTCTTCTATAATAATAATATATATATATGTATATATGTACTTCTACATTTTAAACAATCATAAAAAAATATCATCCGTAAGTAATACTATTATTTGAAACTAATGTATTTTTTTTTTAATTTATTGTTTGTAAAAAAAATAGCTTGATATTAAATAAAGCTTAATTTTTCCACATACTTAGATAATACTTCTCAGTTATCGTTAACACTGTTTATGGTTATTTCAAAAATGATTACAGTGCGATGTAGGATTTACGGAAATCGATGTACTACAGTATTCTGTACTTAGCAATAATTATTGTTACACAAACAATGTATTTATTCAAGGTCTTGATTGCATTTCTATTTTACTCACTAGTCACTACTATAAATATATCGGTAGATTTAATTTATTTTACCTACAGCTTATACCTTTGTTTTAATTATTACCCATTGTACCTACATTTTTTTTAATTAAAAAATAAAATGAGATAATTGGATAATTAGTTCCTTGTTTTTGTATTGAATTTTAAGGTATGACATTATTTTAAATTCTAAAACCCATATTATTTTTTAGTAACATCGGTCCGACTAAAGTGTGCATTTCATTATACCGTATGCCAAAAAAGCATCCATGTTTTGTATTACAGAAAAATATATTACATGTATTATATATTCATGGAAAGTATTATAAAAGTATTTAACAATTAAAATAGTACATAATGAATAGCTCTAGTTTTACATAGCTAAGTCCATGTATAATATTACATTTTTAATAATTAATAATACATTCATATACTGTAGACAAACTAAAAGCCAGAAAATGTATTTCCTTATTAAAAACGTGTTGGAATAACAAACAAAAATATCTGACAAAACCAAGACTGTTATTTCCTGTTTTTTATTTTTTTTTAATATTGACGGTCATTGACATACTATGACCTAGAATTAGGTTAACATTCAAATACCTACTATAAAAACGGAAATTCAAAAAAATAAATTTTTTTAAAAATATTGCCTGGTTTTTGTTGTAAGAAAAACTTGCTCTCACTCTCCTTGAAGTTCTGATCGGATTTTATTTTTGATCATATTTACAACAATAAATCTGGCCGTAAACCCATACAATTATTAGAACATTAAAAATCCATAAGAATATATATATATATGTATGTGTATAATTAAGAGTCTTAATAAATGTATTTTTTTTTAATAACTGTTTATTTTTGATTAAACACCGATAGGTATAACTAAACGATGGTTTTACTTTAAAAAAATGTCCCTCTGTTTCACAGTGTAGCCTAGCACAGGTAAGATTATACTGAAAAATAATTATTATTGCATAAATTCAATCATGGTCGATATACGACGGTTCAACTACCTCATATAGCTCATATTAAATTTAATTAACCTTGTGGCTAATATTTATTTGATTAATTACCTAAAAAAATATCTTTTTCTATAAAACTATAATAGTATTCGAGTAATAAATAACATATAGTACACGAATTGTATATAACCCTGTAAGTTATTTATTTTAAAAACGCCAATCGTACGCGATAAATGGTTAAAATGGAATTACAACAACTGTATATTTGTGTTAACTTCTGTCAATTATTATATTTTTTTTATGTTAGTATTATAAAATAACAATAAGCGATTTAAGTAACTTGTTGAGCTGTACTACATCTATACGTAAACAGTTTGTTAGAATTTGCTCTGGCGTTAAGTATACATTATATACATATTATACTAAGCCGCATAAAGGTGACATTGAAAACTTGTTAACACGTTACCAATCAGATTGCCAAACTAGATAATAATATGATGTTTGAATATGTTAATATGATGTATTTTCAACATAAAAATAGCGTATCGCTTAACTACAGTTTACGTTAAAATGTATAATAAAATATTTTTTTTGAACCGCCTAGACGATCGAATCTAATAATAAGGGAAAAATTAACAGGAAAAATGTAAAATAAATTGCATTGCGGATTAAACTCGGACCTACGTGTGCCGAAACCGATAGACAATTCCGATGACTAATGTCAGCCATGATTCATCAACTCTACATTTATTTATGTGAAAAAAAAAAACAAAAAAAAGTGCACAAGGAACGCCGAATAATAATAGTAATAGTATTAACATTATATTATTATGAAACTGTACACTCACTGTTTACAAACAGTAATGAGCCAACAATTAAAATAATTGCCCTGTACCTAGCTGTTGTAAACCAATGGTATCAATAATATTGTTTACAATTCTAAACGTAACTTAGTCGGTTTCGTATGCTTCTAAACGTTTTTTTCCATGTTAATAGATTTACAAAAAAACTCACGTTGACAATTTCCCTCCATTTCTCACCAAGTATGCTTGTTTTTCAACCAGACAGTCCCACCTACTTTCTTCCCAGAGTAATTAGTAAAGTAATTAGCATAAGCCGGGTAATTTAAACAGACACGTCAAAAAATAAGACACTATTAAGTAAATACAAATATTATACAATTACTGTTTGAGGACCGAGGTAATATTTAAGCATAGGTAAATAGTAATCATTGGACGTTATATGAAAATATCAGCACCAAGTAAAATCACATATTATAAATAAAACAAAGAGATTACGTTATATACACTATAAAGTGTCCAATTAAAATGTTAATAATAGGAAGACAAAGAGCCGGAAACGAAGGAGCAATTCTAAAATCTACTCATTCAAACATCTCATCTGCACTCTTATAAAATTATTAAAAATAACACAACAATATTATTTTTATAACTTATAAAATGGATGTACGATGTGTATTTTTTACAAGTATATTAATCAATTTAAAATTTGGTTTGTCTTTGTCCCTGGGAAAACGTCCTGTGAGGTTCAAATGGAAGACGGACAGAACAAGTTGGAAACGTCTTATGAACGTATGCCTACATTTCAATCACTTTAATGGACATAGCTATGGGGAAGGACTAGTAAATCTTTTCAGATCCTTTTTAATTCCTTCAGGCGCCCGCAAAATGTCAGTAACCAAAGTTTTTGATAGTTCTGGACTTTTTCAAGTTGCACTCTAGCTACGCCTACGGTCCCTTTGCAGTATTATCCCGCGAGAATTTATATTAGATCCCCCTCCCTAAGATCATTTACAAAAATGTAAACTATTGATTGGAAAAAGTACGGATCGTTCGGATTTTCAGATTTTATTTTTCCTTTATCCAAGCTAAACGTTAAAACTATCGTTATGAATGTAAACGTGTAGATACTATACAATATGGTTTCGTAGTTTAAAGCAGTCTTATTATTTAACTAAAAAAAAATTATATCCGTTAATCTGGATGATCCGTTGACAAACCCGGATGTACGAACACTATTTAGAAATACGCTTGTTTGTTAGGTTAGGCTAGGTCCTCCAGATAAAAACTATGTTATATTATACCGTACGGTTGTGATTACTTACTTTCGTCCAGCCACAATATGTTTGGCTGTATGAACGCCAGTGCCGGTGCAACGAGCAGGAAATAGATGAAAATGTATGACGGGAACATACCTAACAGTATTACTCTGCTGCTACGTTGCTGTGTACGGCTGCATCGATGGACAAATGGATACTGACCGAACACCGCCGAGATCGGAAGTTCTTTGAGTTAGCAGTGCGGCAAACCGGTTTACAACGTATAGTTTATACGTAGCCGTTGTATACAGGGTGATTCGTTAAGGATAACCCATTCATGTTCTCTTGAAATAATTGCAAATTTTATAAAATGCACATTTTTTTACATTCGATAATATATAATTTGAAAGCAGTTCAAAACAAAAAAAGTTTCCTTGGATTTGAAGGACTACTGGTAATTCTAACACATATGGTGTCTAACAGTTTAGCTGTCATTTTGTAATGAGATATACAGGCGTTTGAAAATAAGCTTAAAAATAAGACACTCATTTTAGCTTTATAACCAACTGCATTTTAAAGGTTTCCATTTCGGAGACACTTTAGTTAATGACATTTGACAATATTATTTAAATTTTCATTATATCTAGTTTTTCCAGAGCTCTATCGACCTTTCATACTTAAATGGTAACCTATATGTTTAACTTTAAGTTATGTTTAACTTTTAGTTATGGATAATTACTTTTAAAGTTTAATGCACGCAGATAAAAATAATACTACACTCCACTCTTTCTCGTGTCTTAAATTTTAAACTTAAATAATAACTATCTAAAATCTGGTTATAGGCCAGCAAAATTGTCAGCAAATCGTTCTTAATTTTAAAAGTTAATTAAATACCAACGTTACCATTAAAGTTAGAAAAGTATTGTTAGAGCATTAAATATTTAGCAATTTTAAAAAAGTGTCTCCAAAAAGAAAAACTACGAAATCGCCAATATTTTTAGAGAAAATGTGTGTCTTACCCGTAATGAATCACCCTGTATAGCTGCTGGTCCCGTCGTCCAGTTGGCGACCATAATAAGACAACGTGAATTTTCTTAACGTTTTTTGTACCTACATATTATTATTTTTTTTTTTTGCATTAATAAAAAAAAGTATTAAAACATGAAAACAGGTATTCGGAATAATACCTGCGTACACTATTATATTATGGACAAGTTATATTATTGTCCGTACTTCTCTCCGTCTTCCTTCGGGTTTCCAGTAAAATATTTTAAGAGGCGGAGGCCGCACACTGTCATTAAGTCGGTTTCACGTCCAAGGTTCCCATACCTAATAAGGCAAATAAGTTTACACGCGCTGGCGCCGTATCGAACTATCCAGTTTAGCACAAAATATTTGCATAAAATATTAGTGCACGATCTTATTGCGAGTAGTGTTAAATATACAAGTAATCGGACCAATAATTATTGTTTACTACAAAGACACTGGAAAGAAATCGCTAGACCATTGCGTAACTGTATTTGGCCTAACAAGGAAATGGTTTGTTTTTTTGTCATAGAAGAAAACACTACTAGAGTGGCATGTTTCTTACTTGATTAACATTTTATTCTGCGTATTTTTTTTTTACAATGACCCAAGTCCCATCGGTAATATTTTAAGAGTTTTGAGCTAAAAAAATACGAAATGATCCAATTCCATATACCTACCTAGTTTTTATATATCGTTTCATATATTTCTATAGTAACGCAAAAGTTCTCCTGGAAAGTTTTAAAAATGGACTTGCTTTGTTATGCCTCTCAGTCGCATCCTTATTTTTGAAGAAGGAAGCACAAAATGTTACAGAAAAAGAAATGGAATTTATCGGAGGAGAAGACGACGCTAACAGCCACGTTGTTTACTAAAGTGCTGTCGTCGGAAAACCTGAAATTTCTTTATGAATTAGTAGCCGAATTTCGAGTGAGGTGCACCTCTAGTGCCTGGGGGGGTCACTTTTTTATAAAATTACATTTCGGACTAAGTTGTACTAAAAGACTATTACAATGATTTCACATAGCATACAATAAAAAAAAACAGTCTTCGAGGGAGGGGGGTTAAGGAAATTTATCAGAATAAATAGATGTTTTATTAAGTGGAAGGTCACCTAATCTAACCTAAACCGCCCCCCCCTCACCCCTCAACTCTTTTACTATGTCATTACAAAGTATAAACAGTAAAATTATGTTAAACAGTACAATGTAAAACCCCTACCATACCGGGTGCAAGTAAATGAATACTGTGTGTTTTAACCTTCGTCAAAGGTTGTAAATGAAGTGACGTCAAACAAGAAGAAAAATACTATAATCGTCGAAACTATAATTCATAAGTAGCTTCCCTTGAAAACGGAATTCCGATGAAAACCGCAGCTAAGTCAAAACGAACAAACCAGATTACTATAAGCTCAAAAACTACGTGATATAGTAACATTATCTAACAAAAAAAAAACATAAACACATTAAATATTAATTTCATCGAATTCATACTAAGATCACAAGCCCAAAACATACACAAAGAATGAAACGAAATAAAAAAAAGTTTTCACCATTTCGATGGGAAAAGCTAAATGTTATAATGGTAATTTTTACTGTTATGAGACTGTTGTCAAAAATTAAACTGCCGTTAAGAATCATAATCAATCTACCTATAATTAAGTTATTTTTTTTAAAAATGTCGGTATTCCTATTTGCATTGACCTTGAGTATTTTTAGATTATTTATGAGCATATAAAATAAAAGACACAAGGTAATAATTATTTTTACTAAATAAAGCACTATACTCAATATTTTTTTTACGTATAATTTATAACTATAAAGTGTCAAAATGCAATTACTACATTTACATTAGTATTAGGTAAAAAAAAACAAGTACCAAATTAAATTTAATATTCCAATTACTATCATAGGCAAATTATTTATTCCAAACATTTAATTATATTGATAGACGCATTGAAATAAGTAAACCTGTAGTGTCTAAATTGCCGATTACCTAGCATTCATTTAGTCAAGGTTTGTGTCAGTATTAATGAAAACGTACTAATGGTTAATTGTTAAAGAACACGATGGTTGCTAAGTATACCTACCGTCAACCCATTCTTTTAAACAGAAATCTGGAAATTCCTTGTTGTTGTGGATTTTTGCTAGCTCTACTCCGTTTTTTTCCACAATTTAAGCATTAGCTAATATATGTGTATATATGTTAGATATGTATGTGTGTGTATGACGTCTTAGGTTGCAATCAAAAATCATTAGGCTGTTATTCATTTTTAATGTTAAACCAAAAGATGTGAGCACAAGAATTCGAGAAAACAAATTAATACACTTAGGTCCTACCGTGGCCACTAATTTACTCTCATATACAAGTAAACACAATACTTATGGCTTGTTAAAATATTATCGAGGTTGACAATCTGTTAAACAGTTAGTCGTATGTCCATTAAAAACCTGACGATTGTCATATTATGATATCGGTTTTTTTTAAGAATTTCTTTGCTGAAAGCATTAACAGACCAGAGTTTATTGATGTAAAAATAAAAATAAATTCTGGTCGTAACTTACCCTTTTTTTGTACTTCACTACTATAATGTCTAATTGTATTTTAGTCCAATTTATTGCTTCATTTATTTTGTAACCGATTATCTTGCTTCGGCCAATTCTTCTACACATCTACATGACTACATGTATAATAGTATTATTGTTATGTGCATACGAACTTGTTCACAGTTTGCCAAGTTTTAATAATAGTACATATTTTACTTAATGTCTCTTCATGATCGCGTCCGGATAGGCTATACCAATCGGTTAGAACGAATTACTAATTGAATGAGCAACATTCTATGAGTGACTTTTCAGACAAATTTTTTTTTCGGTGGTTCTTTGACCAGCTGAATTGCACTACGTAAGAATTAGTTTCAAAGTATACCGATGAATAGTGCGGAGTGTCGTCTAACAGTCTTTTATCATTAATAAGTTTTGTTACAAAGCGAAAAAACAAATGTAAGAAGCTTCTCTGAAAAATTTCAAAATATAACATGTAACGTTGCTATATTGATCCATTTAATTGGCTTTCACGAATAAATATCTGTTGTGAACAGTAATAAACATGTTATTTATATGTATTTTGCCGTACATGGATTATTGTATCGATCATAGACGAAATATAAACATAAATAGATAGACGATGATTTTCTGATGGCAGCACTGTTTCGGGTCCGACCTACACGTATTTTCTCGAGTCCGTTCGTTATCAAAGTGGGTTGCTAAAAAAGTGTACGGCGTGGTCTGTTCATTCAACGTAGGCACGAGTATTGATAATAATGACTAATACATTTTAAAAATAATGATGAGTTCTTTGCGTGCGACCAACTGGAACGCGGACGTACCACAGGTACGAACATAAATACCTACAACCAATGCGATGTTTTAATGGTTAAAAAAAAGTAATTTGCAAATAAACTAATAGTAATGTTATCGTTACAACGACAAAAATAGTGTTATACTCGGAACGTACGCCGAACGTTCTAGAGGTATTGGACTCCTATGGTTTTTTTTTTGTTTCCTTTTTTTTTTTAATTAAAAGGCCATAGTGGAGCCTAGACAATAGTATAAAGACTATACAACTATTGTTACTATGACTAACGCAGCCGCGCACAGTTTGCAAGTCGTGTCTTAGATAAGTTTGACCGCAGGGTATGCTACACTTAATACTCTAGTATTTTTAAAAATAATACAACAATTATGCACGCCCCTCGTTTTCTTGTAATTACAGATACGACCTTGATGCACTATTTTGATGTCCAACGGCCAATGCCGGAAAATCGTATACCGGCCCTACCGTTAAAATTATACACTGCAAACCAATTTTCTCGCCAAAATCCACGAGGAGACATGATCAGATCAGTATTTTGAGTTTCATCATCAACCCCGTCCCCTCCCAAATAAATATTATCCCGTGTACTAACAGCCACCGGACGGTCATTTTCTTTACAGTTATCATAATTTGTATTCTCTCTAATGTGTACTTAGAAGTTAGAACATTTGATATAGATACGATGGACTGACTAGACATACTGAAAACGCTTAACCGTGTAAGGAAAATAATATGTTGATGCATAAAAATTAAAAAAGAGTACCTATTAGGTTTAGTGGTACTAAAAATACAAAACGTGTTTAGTAAAGCGAATCTCAATGTTA